GCTGTGTATCTGGCTGAGCATCCGGCTCTTGCCTGCCAACGGTGAGATCCTAATGCACAAGAAATATTAATCACATTACAATATGTGAATCAGGGATGTATACTAGCATTACAGAAGGTGGTTACCTGAATTACGGCCACCTGAGGTACATGGTCATCTGTATGATCCACTTCCGAGCCATCAGACGGTCTCCCGATCGTAATGTCCTGAAATTCCATAACATGATGTAAGACAAGGTCATAAATAATCCGACGAGGAAAATAAGTACGAGTTACCTGATTTGGATCCTCGTCCCCATCCGTTATCATACCATCATCCTCCTCCATTATCATAGGATCATCGTCCCTTCTCTTCAGATCCTCGTCGACACTATTCGGACCATGTCCCGACGTCGATTCCTTTTCAGTCTCCAGGTCTTCATCCGTCCTCTGGTTCTCATCAGGCCTCTGGTCCTCGTCCATACTCTTCCGACCTCTATCTGGCTTCGGGGACTCATCAGACCTTTGATCCGATGGACCGTCATCATCGGGCCCACCCCCACCTCCGAAATACTTGCTCGAATCAGGGAATTTACCCTGCACCCAAAACACTGGCCCATGAGCATTATTGTAATAATTAAAAACAAATTTGTATACATATTAAATTAGTACCTTCGCCAGTTTCTTTAGGTATATCTGAATACCTTTCAAGGCGACTCCAAAGTCACCCAGTTTGTCCTCGATAGCACCGACACAGTTATCCAGCCTCTTCAACCGTCTGCTGATCCTCTTCTTGAATTTATTCTTCTTCAACCTCTTCTCTAACCCTTCACCGTCGTTTGCACTGGGTCTAGCCTCGTCTACCGCATGTGCATCTACTACCGGATCCTCCAGAGGACCCATTTCCACATCAGCGGGCGGATCAGGTACAGCTGCCCGTTCAGGTGAGGCAGGCGGGTCAGGTACAACAGCTCGATCAGGTACAGCAGGCGGATCAGGTATAACACGAACTTCTGGTGGAAGAATGACACGAACCATGTGTTGTTCCTTAGCATCCGTCGCCAACAAGTGTTCCTTAACCTTGGACTGCAAAAAACCTATGATTAGATCGAAATGAAAAACCAAATATGAATCATACGGCCAAAAGAGAATTACTTAC